ATTTCTGAAGAGCACATGCCCTTGACCGGAATCGAACCCGGGACCCTTGAGTCCGCAGGCCAACGCTCCATCCACCGAGCCAAACGGTTTCGGCTAGAACTCGGCACTCTTAAACAAAAAAGTCTCCCTGCCATTGTAGGGGTGTCAGATACCACTGATTTCAAATCAGAAAGGTTGGTAGCCTGTTTTTGCCTGTTTAGGGAAAAAGACACCCTAATATGGTACATGCCCTTGACCGGAACCAAACCCGGAACCTTTCAGTCCACAGGCCGATGCTCTGCCTACTGAGCCACACCAGCCAGGGTTTATACACTTTCTAAAAAGTTTTTGTCAAAGGCACTAGCAGGGATGATTGTTTTATACTGTACTAGGTTTCCTACAGAAACTCAGCTCCAGTGGGGAAACTGGTACGTTGTAACTTTCCATGTTTCTATTTGCAGGGTCTCCAACTGCATTTCTGGAAGAGAAAATGGCCTTCCAGGGGTATCAGAACAGCCAAAACTGGCCAGAAAACACAAACTTTTACTTTGAACCCGAGCAAGTGGTGAATCCTATCCAGACGGGTAAGTGCAGGCTTGCCTGTGGCTGCTGAGTGCAAACTGGGCATAAGCCTGAGAAAGCCGCCACCACCCCTCAGCTCAGACATTTAGCCTCAGCACAGCTCGGGAGGTAAAGCAAAGCGCAGCCGAAGCCCTGGACATGGACGTGACCCTCCTCTCGGGCCTCTCTCCGTCTCAGGCACATGCCCCCTGGCTCTCTCCCCTGCAAAACCTGTTTTGAATAAAGTAACTGAAATTCATATTCATTGAAGTTTAATTCTTCTAAAAGGAAGTATTACAGTAATAAAAGCACAGTTTTTTCCTTTTCATTGAATGTATTGGGGTGAGTCTGGTTAACAAAATTATACAGGTCTCCAGTGCACAGTCCACACACAGCGGTACACTGTTGTGTGTTCACCACCAAGTCAGGTCTCCGTCCATCAGTCACCATCTCATAAGACCATTTGTTGATGCCTATTTTGCGCCAGGCATAGTGCTACAGCCTGTGTGTGTGTGTATGTGTGTGCGTGTATGTGAGCGTGTATGTGTGCATGTGTGCGCGTGCGTGCGTGTGTGCATGTGTGGTTCAAATTAGTGAATATTTATTGATTTCTTACATTATCTCAATTTATTGAACTTACTGTTGACAACACACGTGTAACTAATCAGCATTCACTGTGGGGTAGGAGGGAATGCTGTCTGTGTAGCAGTGTTCACTGGGGTTGAGTTTTCCATCCCTTTCCCTCCAGATCCCTACAAGATGCACCGCAGTGACGGCCTGGACGACCTGCTCTTCTTTCCCAGCGGAGCTCACGGCGCTTCGGCACTGACGCGGCAGAGTGACCCTCTGAGAGACAGAGACAGTCACGGTACGTCCTCCCGCTGCGCTGGCTGCTCCCTTCAGACGTTACCGTGGTCTTGACCCATCACCTTTGAAGTTCACCTGGCACCGCCCTGCTTAGGGCTGGGACAGGCACTTTCTAGCCCAGGGGTGGGCAAACTTTCTGACTCGAGGGCCACAGTGGGTTCTTAAACTGGACAAAAGCATGGATGGAGTGTTTGTGTGAACTAATATACATTCAAAGTAAACATCATTACATAAAAGGGTGCGGTCTTTTATTTCAATAGTTTTATTCATTTCAAACGGCCAGATTCAGCCCGCGGGCCGTAGTTTGCCCACGGCTGTTCTAGACTAATCGGGAGAGAATTCAGTTGGGCTTCCTGGGCTACTCACCTCGGTGATGTCTACAGCCAGATTCTGCCTCCACATTTTAGTGCCTCATTCAATGGCCTTGGGCAAGTTTTGTTTATCTGTAACTTTAGTTTCTTTTATCTAATAAGGGGCCAACAGTAGTTCCTACGTTAAAGATGAGCTAAGATCAAATAAAATTATGTAAAAGCATTTTGCGTATTGTTCATTACATAAAAAACAGGAAACAGATCTTAGTTATGAATTGGGAGTATCCTCATTTATGGTGCTGCATAACTTTTACACAGAACTTTACTTCTCCTCACCTTGGGTTTCAGCGGGACCGTTTCACAAGAAGACAGATGAACAAGAGCAGAATAGTTTGTTAATGCATGTAGCATTCATCATGCAGGAGAAAAGCAACGCAAGGTGGTTTCTTAGAATTTCTGTTTCTGTAGCATCTTCAGTAAGAGCATTAAGTTTGTAGAGAAAGGACAGGACAAAGGAAGCCATTTTAGACTGAAGGTGGCAGCCTGGGGCAGGGTGCGGGGGGAACTCATGGTTTGCCTGCAGCTTGCTCTGGGCCCCCTCTGGGCTGGGAAGAGTTTAATCTCAGTAAAATCTCAGGCAGAAATGGGGGAGGGGGGCCGCTTTCTAGGTTTGCTGCTGCTTAATTGCCTTCAACTCAAACTAATTTTTCAGTCAAAAAGACATATTTTGGGGTGACATATTCTGGTTCCCTTCACTGCCCAGCATCAGTAAGTCCCACTTCAGACAGTGCTTGTGATTCTGTCTTTGTAAAGATCCTGGCTTATGGCCCTGGCCGGTGTGGCTCAGTGGGTAGAGCATCGGCCTGCGGACTGGAGTGTCCCGGGTTCAATTCCCGTTGGGTTGCGGGCACATCCCCAGTGGGGGGTGTGCAGGAGGTAGCTGATCGATGTTTCTCTCTCATCGATGTTTCTAACTCTCTATCCCTCTCCCTTCCTCTCTGTAAAAAATCAATAAAATATATTTTAAAAAAGAAAAAAAAGATCCTGGCTAACAATATGTTTCATTAGGTTTTTCTTTGGACTCTTGGGAGAAGGATGTTCAGTGAGTTGACCTTGATGTTACCCATCTAGTCTCCTGATAGCTGGATTTTGCCTTTGACTCCTGGTTTCCCTAGTTCGCTAGTTAGTGAGTCATTTAGATGCATTGACTTCTTTCCTCACAGCATCTTTCTTCTCTCCTTTTGTGCACCCTCGCTTTTCCCCCAATGTAACCCCTGTCACCACACCCAGCCACCTCAGTCATCTCCTGACTGAATTCCTGGTGCCTTTTAAAATCCATCCTGATTAGACCTGGACGATTGGCCCCTCTGTGTCCTGTTCTGTTTGTCATCTCGTTTTCATGAGTAAGACTCAGGGTGCCTTGTTTGTTTTCCCTGCGCAGGCCCAACTCTCTCTGGCTTTCCAGATCCCCTGTTTGCTCTGACCGTCTTTCCCTGGCTGGTACGCAAGGTGTGCAGCCTTGAATCAGACTGACCTCATAGTCCCAGACACATCTTGTCCTGGTGGCCTCTCCGTACTGCTTTTTGCTCATTGTTCTCCGTCCTTGACATTGACTCCGCTCTCCTCTTCTTGCTCTTGCTTCCCCTCGGAAGCCTTCTGTGGCTATTCTGGTCCTCGTGGTTGATTTTAAACTCTGACAGCACCTCGTTCATACTGTATCTTCTGTATTATTTGATCTGTGTCAAAGGTCTTGCCTCTCTAGCTAAACTGTAATAATGTTGATAGCAAGGGGTTATTAAATCACTGGTTCAATTCCCAGTCAGGGTAAATGCCCAGGTTTTGTGCTCAATTCCATGTTGGGGGTGTACAGGAGGCAACCGATGAATGATTCTCTCTCTCTCTGTAAAAGAAATATATTTTAATGCTTGTTTATAGAGAGGAAGGCAGAGGGATAGAGAGAAACATCAATGAGAGAGAAACATCGATCAGCTGCCTCCTGGTCATTCCCTACTGGGGATGTGCCCGCAACCAAGGTACACGCCCTTGACCGGAATCGAACCTGGGACCCTTCAGTCCGCAGGCCAACGCTCTATCCACTGAGCCAAACCGGTTAGGGCTTAAATGCACTATTAAGTCTGGCAGTGGACAGCATAATAATAATCTTTTGACATTATCTAGTTCTTAATAATTTACAAAGCATTTCCACAAAATTGTTTCTAACTTTGAAAAAGGAGGTGTGAATCTCTTTTTATGGGTGAGAAAATTAAGACCATCGATGCTTTATTATACATTATGTTGTATCCGTTGTGATGTTGAATCTTTGAAACACACGCCGGGAGGTTGACTCACAGCACTCAGGGGGGTGGTGACACTGCACAGCCTGCTCATTAGCCAGAAAGCTAGCGAATGCCGGCAGCGTTTACCCAGAACTGTGCTTGGTTCTCACTGGCGTGTTCCCTTAGGTCTGCACGCTCACGGCAGCATAGAAAGCTTGCTTCTCCCCTGTGTTGACATGTTTGTTTGTGTTTCACCATTAGGTCACCTTCCTTGCGACACATTGACTCCTGAAGCAGTTGTACCTCAGGACTGGCCTGTGGAAGCCCCGCACGGCCCCCAGGCGGGGGCCTTCATTTCCCCAGAGGCCACACCACCTCTGCAACCCACAGCAGGTAAAGGGTTAGAACCCCTCGTTGTCGGTGTGTGGCTGCAGTATTTTTTAGCAGCATATAACAGTGTAGACAAAAATGTCAGGTTTGTCACAAATATTTTTAAACTTATATTACTGATTTCACAGCTAGAGAAATGTAGGTGTAGTTGAGATATAAGACTTGGGGTTAATGGGCAAAGAAAATCCCTTTTTAATTTGGTGCAGATTTCATTTTCTAGGGCCCACATTTCCTTTCTGACAGTAATTATAAACCTGTATGTTTTTTTAAACATCGGGGGTTTTTCTTCTTTGCCTTTTCTCCTCCATTATTTGTTCTCCCAGTAGCCTCTTCTTTTGCGTTTTGGGACTGTCGGAGAAGGCACAAAGGCATTAACTGGCCAGCTTCTTAGTTATGTTTGGGGGTTAGGGTCACAAAAGCCAGATATTCCTGTGCTCTGAGAGAGTGAGTTTTGAATGCAGAACTCTGAGCAGACTATGATGGCTCCTAAGTGTCCAACGTATTTCCCTTAGAGCCAGCCGGGGAGAGAGAAACGGCATCAGAAGAGAGGGCATCGACCAGAGCATCGGGAACGATGCTGGAACTGAAGGCTGCTGACATGGCACCATCTAGAGAAGCAGAGACGGCCCTGGCTCAGGACATGGTGCCAGCCACAGAAACAGAGGTGGCACTGGCCACAAACGTGGCATCACCTACCAAAGAAGATGTGTCATTTGCCAAGAACATGGACTCACCCATTGAGTCAGACGTGGCTGCAGTCAGGGACGTGGTACTGCCTATAGAAGCAAAGGAAACCCCAGCCAAGGGTGCAGTGCTCCTCAGAGACACAGAGAGGGCACCACCCATGGAAATGGACGCGGCTCCAGCTGCAGGCGTGGTGTCACTCACAGAAAGGGAGATGGCATTGGCTAAGGACACTGCATCACCCACAGCCAAGGAGTTGGCCTTGTCCTCGGGAACAGAGGTGGCCCCGGTCAAGGGCATGGCTCCGCCCCCAGAAACAGAGGTGGCCCCGGGCAAGGACATGGCTCCGCCCCCAGAAACAGAGGGCCTCGGGATGGCTCCGCCCCCAGAAACAGAGGTGGCCCCGGTCAAGGGCATGGCTCCGCCCCCAGAAACAGAGGTGGCCCCGGTCAAGGGCATGGCTCCGCCCCCAGAAATAGAGGTGGCCTCGGTCAAGGGCATGGCTCCGCCCCCAGAAACAGAGGTGGTCCCGGTCAAGGGCATGGCTCCACCCCCAGAAACAGAGGTGGTCCCGGTCAAGGGCGTGGCTCCGCCCCCAGAAACAGAGGTGACCCCGGGCAAGGATGTGCCTCTGCTTCCAGAACCAGAGCCATCCCTGGCTAAGGATGTTGTACCACCTTCAGAAACAGAGGTGGCCCCAGTTCCGGCGAAGGACATGGGAACTGTACGGACACCAGGAAAGCCAAGCGAGGGCCCGCAGTTTGCATCTCTCCGGAACGAGGGGCCTTCAGCTGTGCCTGCTGCCGTGGCTTCCCCAGGTGCGGGCTCTCATGTGCTCTCAGTACTTCTGTCCTCCAGGGGGCAGTCTCCATTGGGGCCAGGGAAAATAGTGCTTTGCAGATCCCTACATATCCCTGCTCTCCCAGACAGTCCTTCTCACCTCACCTCCTCCAACACCTTCATCCCCCCCCCGCCCCCCGCCGAGCGTGTTCCCTTATAGGCCCGTGAGCAGTCGGGGCATCACAGCCTCACTCATCCGCCTGCCTGACTGCTTGTGTCTGTGTCCAGAGACTCCGCCCCTCCGGTTCCTGGGAGTAAGCACCCCTGCTTCTGCTTAAGGCCACCTCTGTTTTGTACCAGATCCCATCTCTTCTTGCTCTTCTTGTGCATTGCTCTGGTATTCTCATTCTCTCTCTCTCTTTCTCTTTTAATCCTCACCCAAGGGTATGTTTCCATTGATGTCTTTAGTGAGAGAGGAAGGAGGGGAGAGAGAAAGATGAGAGAAACATTGATGTGAGAGGAACATCAATTGGTTGTTTGCCTCCCCGGTGTGCCCGACTGGGGTTTATCGAGATGATCAACCAGAGATGAGCCCCCAGCCTCTGGTGCCCAGGACAGCGCTCCGGGCAAGCGAGCACCCCGCCAGGGGCTCTTTCTTCTTCCTCTCAGCAGTGCTTTCCCTCCAAGGGGCCCTACCCACCAGCATGCAAGCATTTGTTATTGTCCCATTTTAAAAACAAAACAAACAAGCCCCTCCAATTCCATCTCCCTCCTACCCCCTCCCTGCTGCCCTCACTGCAGCCCCTCAGTCCTCAAACGCTCCTCCGTCCCCAGCTCTGGAAGGTGGAGAAATAGCTGAGTCGTGCTTCTTGGAAACCTGTATGGTTTTACTGTCACCTTTAGAGCCAGTCACAGCCGTTGGCCAAACGTCCGCTTTGCCACCAGACGAGGCATCTGTGCCAGAGAAACTAGAGCAAAGACAGCCGCTCAGCCGTCAGCCTCCGGAGCCGCCTGCAGCGCCCTCAGGTGGGTCGGGAACCACTGCCTGGGAGTGGTGGGTGCGGCTGTGGCCTTGCCCCTGGTCGCAGGTGGTGATCAGCAGACCGTTGATGAGGTCAGTTCTCTTAGATTTTGACTTGTTTGGGCAAAGAGTCAGCTTGTTATCTACTTTTCAGTGGTCACCACGCCAACCCAGGACACCTAATGCAGGTCAGCTGTTCCCCATTCTGTCCCGTGTGGTCGCAGGCAGGTTACTGAACGGCCCTCAGCGTGCCCTGCTGTGAGAGGAGTATGTTGGTTCACGTTCCATGAACCCCTGGTGACAGTGCTACAGCCCGGCACAGAGGCACCGCCCGGGAGCTCGTCAGAAACGCACGATCTCGACTCCACCTCAGCCTCCGAGTTTGCAGATAATTCTTACGCCCTTACCTGTGAGAGGCCCTGCTCCCGGAGGCTTCCCGACCTCAAGGCCGTTACTTTCTGTTGTGAGCCAGAGACGTGCATAGTTTTCATCGTGAGCCTCTGCTTGCTTTCCCGTGATGGTCAGAATGTGACCTCGAGGGCAGGAACTATGATTTATTCCCGTTACAGTCCTGTGCTTTGCATACTGAAGAGCCAGCACCAAGAAGTACCACAATTAAGTTTAGGGTTTTTGTTTGTTTGTTTTTTAATATATTTTATTGATTTTTTTACAGAGAGGAAGGGAGAGGGATAGAGAGTCAGAAACATCGATGAGAGAGAAACATCGGTCAGCCGCCTCCTGCACACCCCCTACTGGGGATGTGCCCGCAACCAAGGTACATGCCCTTGACCGGAATCGAACCTGGGACCCTTTAGTCCCCAGGCCGACGCTCTATCCAGTGAGCCAAACCAGCTAGGGCAAGTTTAGGTTTTTTTAAAGATGTCCTTTTAGTGACTCGCATATCAATAAAGATTTATCAAGTTCTTAATATCCACAAAATACACCATGCTGAAGCATAGAGGTAGCTAAGTCAGGGCCCTTGCCCTTCCATCGTTTTATTACAGCCTGGATGGAAAGAGAAGTCCCCAGGCATGAACACCGAAACCAAAGATCTATGTAATTGAATTAGTTTAAGAGATGGCACCAAATACTAGTAGCTACTGATTAATTTCCAAGTTAAATGTTATAAATGCTGTAGGGTACGAAGAGAAGCAATTATTGGTCTGAGGTATTAAATAAAGGGTAAGGTTTGGAGGAATTGGGTGGGTAGGTGTTTGACTATTCTGGAGGCATTTCATGGGTCAGACCTGACAGAGCTGTCCTAGGCCCGCTCTTCATGGGCCTTTCTAGGCCTCGGATCCTTGCAGCCTTGGCGTGGAGGCGGCGGCCGGAGCGGTGACTCCTGGAGCACTTCCCAGGCCTCTCTCCCAGTCGTTCTGTTCATCGTCCTGCTTGGCGTTACGTGTCGTTCTCTGACTTTGGGGAAGGGCATTTAGGAACAGAAATTGAAATCTAACACATTTGTCTTTTAAAGTAGGAGGTTCTGGTTCTGGAACGATGAGATTATTTCTCTGGCCCAAATACGAATTCAGTATCTTTTCCTTTTCCTTTTCTTCTTCTTTTTTTAGTAGTATAAGTCTGGTCTGTTTCCCAGAATTTATCTGGTTAGTTTGATAACTGATTAGTATACTATTGGTGACAGACTCTTAGAATTATAAATTCAAATGCCACCAAAAAGAAACAGGAGTTTACCATTTTATTGCAGAATTGGGAATTACGTGCCTAACACAAATAATGACAAATATATACCAGTATCAGATGAGAGTCATAAATCTCTGAATTTCTTTTCTCCAGTTTTAAATACTTTGTAAATATGTTTGAAAAAAACATTTAAGATGATGATCTTTGTTAAATATTTGCTAATCCCAGTTAAGGGTGAGAAATATTTCAGGAAAATAACTTTTCCTATATGAATTATGATGTGGGTTGGCGAAAATAGACTACTTAAATGAGCCAATAAGTGGACTTTTTAAGAAACAATAACAAGGAGTTTTCTGTTTGGAATCTTGGCCATCTTCGTGTATTGCAGGTACCCTTCCCACACCAGCCAAACAAGTGTGCAGACCCAGGGACCGCAGGGCCGCCCGGCCCCGGCCCGCCAGGGTCCCTCCTGAGCTGCTGGGAGGCTCTTCACCGAAGACTCTCGATCCCGGGCTGGGCCCCTGCTCCGTGCTGGAGCCAGGCTGGGTCTCGGGCTCAGTTCCCTGTGGTGAGCCGGGGAGCCAAAGGAAAACCACTCCTGCTGCCTTCCCTGAGACACAGAGGGAGCCTGGCAGGCAGGCCTGGGAGGCAGAGAGCACAGCGATGATGAAGAAGAAAAAGAAGAGACCAAAGCAAAAGCGGTGCTCCCCACCCCGGGGCGGGGGGCCCTGGGGTGACGACAGTGCACGGGAGGCTGACGGCCGTCCCGTGGCAGCTGACCCACAGAAACCAGGCGTCCGCCCCAGCCAGCCTGCCACTGTGGGCGGACAGCATGCACCGGCCTCCAGGGAAAGCCCGGAAGAGGATGGTGGAGTTGACGCTGGGACAGCCAAACCGGCCGCCGAGAGCTTGGTCTCGGAAAGCCCCAGGGTTCCTTCCTGTCCTTGGGAAGAACCCCCTAAAGCCGCAGTGAATTCTCAGCCCAAGCTGAGCAGAGAGGCAGAGGTCAAAGGTAACAAGTCAGAACCACAGAGCCAAGACAGGGAATCTCTGCAGCAGGGTGGGTGCAAACCGCAGACTGCTCCCCACCTGGCGACCCCTCTCAGACCAGAGGGGTCCCTGCCGGAAGTCTCTGCACACAAAATAGAAGCTCCCTGGGAGGTCAGAGCCCAGGAGGGTTGCTTTCCTGTCTCAGACCAAGAGGCTCCGGGGCCAGTTGTAAAACCCACAGCAGCAAAAGAGCTGCCTAATCCGACACGCACTCTGACAGCAAATAATCCACTAGAAAGCAGCCTGAAAGAAGGGAGCGATGGGAGGACAGTGCCCGCGCTGCAGACTGACAGGCCGGCAGAGTTCTCTGCAGCAGCTGAGGATGCTAAGGCACCTCACAAGGAAGTGTTCCCCACGCAAGGACGAGAGATGAGCATCTTAGCTTCGGAGCAGCTGCCGCAGGGCAAGATTCAGGTTCCTGGGCCGGGGAATGAACCACCTAAGAGAACAGCCGGTGAGGGCAAGAGCAGGAAGGGCAGGGGGAGTTCTGGGAAAGTGAGAGCGAGTTCTGGGAAGGCAAAAGCAAGGGCTGAGCTGCCAGTCCTTCCCGACAGCCAGGGAGAGGGCAGAGCTGCCTGGGGGCCAAGTGCGCCAGCCCCTGAAGCAGAAGGAGCGCTGGCTGGGGAGGGGAGGGAGGAGCCAGGGCTGGATTCTTCCCAGCAGCCGGGGGTCCGGGCTGCTCTCCCTGAGGCAGGGCTCGAGGGGGCGCCTGAGGAGACTGGCCCCAGTGTGGCCAGCACCTTGCAGATGTTGACTCCTTTGGAAACTAGGTCAGGCATGACTCAGACTCCCAGCACCACAGCAGACAGAAGAGCTGTGGCCATAGATCTGGGTGCCAGTAACCAGAGCAGAGAAGGAAAGTGTCCGTGGATGGATTGCGAGGCAGCTCCCAGGGTTTCTGAAAGGCCTAAAAAAAGAAGCAGTGAAGGCAAAAACAAAAAGTTTAAAAATAATTACTCTGCACAGCTCGCTAGGGTGGAGAGCAAGGAAGAAGTCCCCAGCCCACCTTCCATAGGGAAGGATGGAGGTGCTGGCACTCCCCATCAGAACAAAGGCTTAGGACTCCCTTTCCCCGTCAGTCACGAGCCCTTGTTCTCACCGACATCAGATACACCCACAGTGGAGGTGGTTGACGGAAAGGCTAGAAATATTGAGGTTAATTCTGAGCTCGGGGCTCTGGGTGGGAACAAAACAAGTACAGCCCAGGGTGCTGCGGTTATTGAAGCAGCTGCCCAGGTGACAGCTGCGAGCGGCCAAGACCAAAGACAGGGGGCGGGGCTTGTCCCTTCAGTCCCGCCTGCAGAGCGTGAGACAGGTGCAGCCCAGGGGCCCACTGCAGTGAGGGACAGCCCCAGCAAAAGGAGTAATGACGGGAGAAGCAAGAAGGTGAAAAATAGCTTTTCTGAGAAGCACACTTTGGAGACTAAGACAGATGCAACAGAAAGACATGTTCCCATGGAAGCCACAGGAGACCGCAGAATTGAAGGCGTGGGCTATGTGGATGAAAACAAAAACATTACATTTACCCGCCCCCGAACACCATCTGAGGCCACGAGTACGCCAGCCCCTCCAGAGGCTCTGCATTCAGCAGCCTGTGAAAAACTGCCCACTCCTCATCCTCAACTAGTAAAGGGAGGTGAAGCCTTTACAGGCAACTTGGCAGAGAGTAGGCAAGGGACAGCTCTGGCCCAGATCTCCGAATGGTCAGTGGTGGGTCATTGCAGCAAAGATGGCGTCCCAGAGCAGGAAAGAGCCACGGCCGCCTCTGCTGCCAGGCCCTGTGCAAGCCCAGGAGGAGGTGCCCTGACCCTCCCAGCAGCCACAGAAACAGGGCAGCGCCCTAGGGACTGCTGTCCTGAGCATAAAGAGCAGCTTGCTGAGCCCATGGAGAACGAAGCAGGGGTAGACGGAGGGCATGTGGGGGGAGAATCTGAGTCAGGGCCCAGGGGGGCATCTAAGCGTCCAGCAGAGGAAATCACAGAACCAGCCAAGGGCCCCCGTCCTGCAGTGCCCACAGCAGACCAGAGCCCACGACCTGAGCGTGGAGGCCCCGGGGTGCGAGCCGGTGGGAGTCCTGTTCCAGCATCTCCAGTGAACAGAGAGGGAGAGGCTGGGGCGGGTTCTGCTTCCAGTCATACTGCCGACTTCCCGGGAGACGGACCACAAAAGCCCCTTTGCTGTGAGGACCAGCATGCTGAGGGCGGAGCGTCCAGGGGCCCCACTGGTTTGAATAAGGAGATGGAGATGACTCTTTCAACTCCAAAAAGTGAACAGGATAAACGGGAAGGAAGTAGCCTGGCTCCTAAAATCACAGAATCAGCGGATGCTCCCTTGCCAGCACCAGCACTCCAGTCGGATTTCTTCAATGGCCAGCTTGGCGCTGCCCCCTCGAGTGCGGTAGAGAAGTTGGCAGTGACTGCCTGCCAGGGGCTTCCGCTCCCAGAACCTGAAGAAAAGGCCTCGGAGGCACCTGAGAAAATGACAGAGAAACCTGAACCGAAGGCTCTGGGCGAAGGGAAGAAGGAGGAGAAAAGAGCGGCAGAGCCCCTGAAAGGCTACATGAGACCCACCAAGTCCCGAGGACTCGCTCCACTTTCGCCGAAGCCTGCGGCAGTCCAGGAGCGCGGGAGACCCGAGCACGCCACGCCCAGCGGTAGGAGCCTGCCAGGCGCTGTGTGTGCTTGTGGCTTTGAGTCCGCGTCAGAGAGGCACAGAGCTTGTGCTTTGGTTCCAGCCAGACTTTAATTCTCCTTGTTAATCATCAGTGATTTGTTGGCATGAAAAACGTATAACTTCTAATACGTGTTTTCTGCAGCCCAGGCATGCCTTGTGCCCAGCTCTAGGAGGCTGGGGTCTTCGTCGCATGCCTTTCTACCCAGCAAGGAACCTTGAGTTGTAGGTGGAGGCGAATTTCAAACAATGAATTGCTTAGCAGAAGGCTGTCACTACCCACTATCCTTAATTTTTTGTTTAAAGTGTGCCTTGTGTGTGAAAAGTTCCAGCCACATTTAATCATTATTCTGTGTGAGGAGGAGAAAGCATTTTACATCCGTTTATTCTTAACACTATTACTTACTTACTAATTATTGTTACTGTCTAGTTATTGTGTGGTAGCAACTGTGAACCTGCTTGTACCCCCCCAGCCCCCGGGTGTGTCTCTTGCGCTGGTGGGACTGATACCCAAGCTGCTCTCTCTTGGATGAAGGGAAACGGGCCGCCTGCTTGCGCAGACGTGGCTTGTGCTTCCAGGAGAGACCAGCGGGGGGACCTCGCGAGGCAGCCCGTCATTCACGGTCCGCTGCTTACAGCCGCTGGCCTGCAGTTGCCTGTGGGGTAGAGCTTTGGGCTTAGACTGTGTCCATCAAACAGTCTACATCCACGGGCAGGTCTATGAAACTTGCCCATGTGGGATTCCTCATAATTTTGTCATTTTTGGCTCTAATCAATCAAGTAATTCACATGAGATTAAGGAAGATGATTCCTTAAAGATTTAGAAATGTTATTCCCCCCCCCCCACACACACACACACCCTCAAAAAGTATACATCTAACCCTGACTTCCCTGAGCCTAACCTGCAAAAATTGGTTCCTGGCCTTTGAAGGTTTTCACAGCCCACAGATGCTGTTTCTCAGTCACTGTCTCCCAGCGTGCACGCTGCAGCTGCTAACTCCAGAGATGAAGGCGCCACTTGGCCTTGGCAGCCAGCTAGGCTTGGGGAGGCTGCGCCAGGGGTGGGGGGCATGCTGTGGGCTTGTTTGGGCGAAGCGTGTGCTGTGCATGCGTTTGTTCCCAGTGGGGAGCACTGTGTGCGCACAGGATGCTGGCGGTGGCTCTTCGCATAAGATCTGCTCATCTTCTCTGTTTATCTTCTATTTGCTCTCCTGTTGCCAGTGCGGAAAAGGAAGTGGGATGCAGGAGCTTCCAGCTTCCGTTCAGGTTTCCAGTGTTCTGTCCAGGGCGTTCATTTAGTTTATAGGTTGCTGCTTTCGTCTCAGCAGGGATGCAGAGGGCACGGACATTTCCTGAAACCGCCATCTCTTTCTGTTCAGTATCTTCCGAGAGGTGTAGAAAGAGGTTTGTCTGGTCTGGAAGGAGGCGGAGGCGGTGGAGCTGCGGGCCTGCCCCGGCCAGGCTCAGGGCCCGTGTGAGGAGTGGCCTCGCGGAGGGCTGCAGAGAGGGTGATGGATTTTGGACAAAATTTATTGTTTCTTCTCTGAATTCTAGAATACCTTTTCTCTAATGTGAATGTAATCTATACATTTTAATAGTTAAACCCTTTTTGTACTCGTTTTTGAATAGGTAGTACATTCACATGGTACAAGGGGGGTACACAGTGAAATGCAAGCCTGCCTCCCCCCAGGCACCCCGTCCAGGCTGAGCACAGCTTGTCGGGAAAGGGCTGCCTGTGGGACTGTGTGTTTTGTGACGTTGACAGGCGATCGTGAGGGACCCGTGGGTGCTGCTGCTCCACAGAAGTCCCCCTGGGGCCAGGAGGGCGGTGGGTGCAGGGCCCCTGGCACATGGTGCTCGGGCGGGACACCTAGGGGCACCTGTGCACAGCCCTTCCCTCTGCGGGGGCAGCACCCGGCCTCCTTTCTCTCAGCCTAGTTCCTTTTTCTTTAGTTTGCTTGAGCCCAAGAGCTGACTTCCATCAGCCGGGAATGTCAGTTTATGGGGGGAAATTCTCTTGGTGTGAAACTGTATAAATCCCAAATCCTAACAGTTTCAAGGCCCCTGTACATAAATAAAATATGTGCAGCCTCTGAAGAAACGGTAAGTTTAGAACTTGCTCCACTTCCACGACCGGAGAAGTGCCGCTGGGTAACACCTTCCTTAGCAGGACGCCGTTCGTGAGGTCCCTTTGCTGTTGCTTCCTCCGCTGACTCTCATTCTTTGGCTTTTTCATCTTCCTGGCTGAATATTAATGAAACTTATGGAGAAATCTATGTATATACACAACACAACTAAAGAGAAACTTACTATGTGCTCAGCACTATCTCACATGGTTTTCGCCCTTAAACAGTTCTCCTCACCTTATCTCAGTGAGAACCTCTAGTCTCAAAGGAGCGCAGCGCATGTCAGCTGTCCCACTCTAAGGGCTCTTCCCCTCGCGTCTCCTCCCCCACTGTTACCCTGTCACCCTCTGGCTGACAAGTAGCATTGGAGGGTTCAGGAAACCAGTGACAAGCAACAGCTTCTGACGTGGGCTGTTGCCGAGATATGTACTTGCTTAGAAGGGGAGCGGTCCTGTTTTCTGGGGCAGGTGAGCCTGGCTGGCACTGACCTGGAGGACTGATGGCTGTATGTTAGGTTCCCTTGACAGGGTGTTTCCATAAATCACTTAGTTTAGGTTTGTGCTGTGGGTGGGCCACTGGTGTGGCCTCCGTTTCTGTGGGTCCCAATATGGATGACCTGGGTCAAGGGCCACATCAGTCAGATTACTAGCTCCAGTTTTCATTCGTCTGTTTGCATTCCAACTTTTGAAAGTTAATCAGGGAGAATCACGATTCTCTTGGTTCTCATGTACTAAGAAATGTTTCTAAAATTTAATTGAATGTGGTTTTAAAGTGCTTCTGCAGGTAAGTAAAGAGATAGCAATTATACAGCCTCCAGCTTTGATGAGTGTCACAGGCCTTGTCACCAGTAGAATTACTGACTCGTATTGTAATGATGACGGATAGAAACGGTCCCCTGGAGTCAGTAGCAGGAGCATTTGGTCAGACTGGAAAGTAGCTTTGTTGCATGAGGAACGGATAAGAAATGCAGGGCAGCCAGTTGTGGAGCAAATCAGGACCAAAGCCTGGACCTGTCGGGGACTAGCTCAGGGCACAAGGCAAAACCAGACCATCCGCCAGTGCGTCCGCTGCGATGGGCCTGCGGCAGAGCCAGCTCCCACGAGGCTTGGCACGTCTGTCCTGTGGTCTGACGAAGAGCCGTGGAGACCACCTTCGACCAGATGCATGGGGGGGATTCATGCACTTTCCTCAGACTTGCAGAATGGAGCCTAAACATCGTCAGCCCTAGGCACATTTCAGATCAGCGCCTGCCTAGGCGAGGGGAGTGATGGGACGGTGAGGGCACGTGCTTCAGCACCAGTGCAGAGGGGTTCACCCGTCTGCCCCAGGAGCCTGCTGCTTAGTGTGTGCCAGGCGCCCTGCTGGACGCCGAATGCAGAGTGGACAGGTGTGACCCCGCCCTTTAGAAGCTCCCGGGAGAGGCACATGGGTACAGTTACGCTGTAGCTTCCAAATCCCGGGAAAGGGCAGGGCAAGTGCAGTGCTGCCAAAGCAGGAAGGAGCCAGCTTCCAGGGCAGAAAGGATTTAGTGAGCCAGAAGCTAGCCAGAAAGGACCCAGCCCTGGGGCAGGAAGCCAGAGCCAGCCGCATGGGGCGGGGCGGGGCGGGGCGGGGCCAGGCCGGCAGCGGGCTGCAGTCCTGCGGCCGACAGGCACTTCCCCACATTGTGTTTGGGGAAACGGTGCTTTGAAAGAACCCCACGGGCCACAGATATGGTTGCAGGTCGTCGTCCTGACAGTTCTTGCACGTGCGACATGCAGTGCACAAGGCTCCCTCATGCCTGGAGGCGGACGCAAAGCTCCCACATGCATCAGGGTTGTGGGCCACAGCCACGAACTGGCTCACCGCTCCGCCTGCGATGTCATTTAGACACCCGGGATGTGTTTCTGTCAGAGTCTGGGAGGCTGCACAGAGGAGGTGGCGCTGAAGTGAGTTGTGCGTGAGCAGGAGGAAAGCCCAGAGGCGCGGAATGCTGGTGGCCCTGAGCCTAGAACCTGTCTTCTGGTTTATAAGCACGTTTCTCTCCCCGGGCGCGCTCAACCTTGCAAGACTGCCCGCAGTTCTCACCCACCGCCTGACACATGGGGTGCCGGGAGGTGTGACCGTGCTCTGTGGCCGCGATGACGTCTTCAGCTCTGAGCTGGACTAGAGCGCTGGAGAGCCATCGGGCTGCTGGGTCCTCTGTGCTGGCCATCAGGGAGCTTTCACCGCATTTGGAGAGGAACAGACCCTTCATCCTTTTTTGTTTTTTAAGACAAAGTTTATTAGGAGTCACAGAGATGGAAGGAGTGAGCGTAGGAGAAATGGGCTCAGGAAACAAGTCACAGGCGAAACCAAGGGCCCTGGAGTTCAGGAGAAAGAAAGCGGCCAGGAAACAGGCCCGGGAGCTGCGACTCCCCCCGCCCCCCCGCCTCCTCCTTGGTGTGTGTTGCCAAAGTAACAGTCGAGTCAGACTTTAAGTCACTCTGCCTCTCCCCTCTGTACCAGCCTCTGGGTCCACGTTTTTCTTTTTCGGATTTGATTGACTTTATTGGGGTGACGTTGGTGAATAGTTGCATAGGCTTGGGGACAGCTCTGCACTGCACCATCTGTCTGTTGTATTGTGTGTGCGCCCCCTGCGTTCGCACTGTCCTCGGTGAAGCGGACCTGCTCACTCAGGCGGCCTGCAGGGAGCTCGGAGGCAGGCTGTGCCGACATTGCTTCGCACACAGGCCAGTGCTTTTGGGAAGGGAAGAGTGGCAGAGAACTGCCAAGGGATACGTCACCCTCCCTTCCTCACTCTCTGCAGTTAGGACAAACCAAGCCCCCACGCTCCGCTCAGTGGGGAGCGCAGTGCAGGGTGGCGAGCTCGCAGGTA